ATATACACACAGAGAAAAGGTTTCTTCTAATTGAACAAATTTTTATGCATTGAAATAGTCCAACCAAATGAATGTTTAAATTAATATATAATTATTTAAATTTGAACATTAAAATTAAATTTTTTTTCAATTAAATAAAATATGTTCCATTTAAATTAAATTTGTTTCAATAAAACAAGTGTAAATAGAATTTTCGAGTCCAAACAAATCTTTTTCTCTGTATATGACTCTAAATAAAATTCGTTGTTTATAACAATTTAATAAGACGATTTATAACAATTTAAAATAAATTTTTAAATTCTTATACTTGTCTTAATTTTTAAAAGAAAATTTTAGTCATTTTGTCCAATTGAATCGTGTATACTAACTACATTTAACTAGTAACTTTTATTAGTAATTTTCTGTCGTCAAACGGACGTTTACTGCATTGCAGATAAAAATGTTTTAAAAAGTTAGCTTTGTTAGCTACATTTCTTTTTCTTTTCATTGTGAAACCAATGTCCTCTCTTAATACTTTAAACAAATATCAAAATACCGCAGTATGCGATTCCATCTGTCGTTGGCACGGAGCACAAACGTCAGGGCGAGGGGGTCAAACCTATGAAAGTAGCTGGAAAAAGACACGCTGAGAGGGCTTCAGCCGAGAGGGCTTTTTCATCCTGTCTCCAACCTCTCGTTGCTTTTTTCTTTTCGTTATCCGCGATGAGAACCGTGCGACAAAGGCTGGTGGCGTTAATACCGCGCCGTTGCGAATCACCATTGTTGCAACAACCCTTTGTGTTTGGAATTATTTATATGGAATTTGTAAATCGAATAAACGAGATATTGTATTATTTTGAAACGGAAATTGTAAAACATATAACTCTCACGTTTTAATTGACCTCTTATCGAATTTACATCTTCCCGGAGTTCAATACGTTTTTATTATCTTTTAACGTTTATTTTACGTCACTGTTTTATTATTTGTAAAATTTCTCAGTTTTATTTAATCTTACGCAAAACTGTTCTATTAGAACAATTCTGTCTATTGTAAAAACTAGTTCTCTTATGTCCATTTCTACCAACATAGATTAATTTTGATCTCAATTTAATTGATTATTTTTTTTTTAATTCTTAGAAATAAATAAAACTAGAAATAAATAAAAAGTAAGTTAAAGTAAATCTATTTATATTGGTAGAAACAGGATTTAGATTTCTGTACATTTATTATATACATCGTACTTACCCCGCTCCAGCCATAGGGGAGGGCACCGTTATGCTCGGACCAATTGTTGGAATCCACATAAAACATGCCCGCCGCCATAACGAAGACCCAAACGGCGAGATTGATGGCATTCAGCACATTGTTGAACACCAGCGACTTCTTTACTCCTGCCGCCATTAGCAGCATCATAAGTATCGTGATGACGAACGCGAGAAAATCTGGCGGCCGTCCTGGAGCAAATGTGATTCGAAACTTTAACAAGTCATGATTATTGTTTATCTTATATAAGTGATGAATATGTCAGTTTGGAAATATGTAAATCTAAAGATTAAAACAATCCTAAAACAATCAAATATAATTAAAAATAACAAGATTCATTAGAAATGCAGAATTGTTCTACATAAAAGAATCTGAAAAGAATAAAAAGAAACAACTGGTAAATGAAATAAGACGCTTAGTTTATAAAAATGCTATGTCCTTAAAAATATATTTCCTTTAAATATGTTTTTTTTTTCAATCAATTAAATTTAATTTTTTCAATCAATTAAATTTTTTGCCAATT